GATAGATTATCGGGAGCTGTAGACATTTAATATGTACTGCTGATTAATATTAGAAAATCATGAAGTTATTCTACTATACGGGAGCTAAAGATATTTAATATGTACTGCTGATTAATATTAGAAAATCATGAAGTTATTCTACTATATGGGAGCAATAGACATATAATATATACTGCAAATTATTATTAGAAAATCATGAAGTTATTCTAATATACGGGAGCTATAGACATTTAATATGTACTGCTAATTAATATTAGAAAATCATGAAGTTGTTCTACTATACGAGAGCTATGGACATTTAATATGTACTGCTAATTAATATTAGAAAATCATGAAGTTATTCTAATATACGGGAGCTATAGACATTTAATATGTACTGCTAATTAATATTAGAAAATCATGAAGTTATTCTAATATACGAGAGCAATAGACATTTAATATGTACTGCTGATTAATATTAGAAAATCATGAAGTTATTCTACTATACGGGAACTAAAGACATTTAATATGTACTGCTGATTAATATTAGAAAATCATGAAGTTATTCTAATATACGGGAGCTAAAGACATATAATATGTACTGCTGATTAATGTTAGAAAATCATGAAGTTATTCTGATATACGAGAGCTATGAACAATTAATATGTACTGCTGATTAATATTAGAAAATCATGAAGTTATTCTACTATACGGGAGCAATAGACATATAATATGTACTGCTAATTAATATTAGAAAATCATGAAGTTGTTCTACTATACGAGAGCAATAGACATTTAATATGTACTGCTGATTAACATTAGAAAATCATGAAGTTATTCTAATATACGGGAGCTAAAGACATTTAATATGTACTGCCGTATAGTAGAATAACTTCATGATTTTCTAATGTTAATCAAAATGTCTTTAGCTCTAATATGTACTGCAAATTAATATAGTTATTCCTAAATTTGTTTTATTAAAACAATATTATATATCTATATTTATAGTATTTATACATGCAATCATGACATACTCTACCACAAATTAATCATAAGGTTTTATTGTAGTTAAGCCTAACTAGAAGGCTTATTTCATGAGCAGTATATAAACCACAAAATATTATTTTTGTGAATTATGTTTGGTTAAAATAAAAATTACCTTCCAAATACCTTGTTGTGTATGTTATTAAGACTAGAGTAAAATTGTAAAGAAGTTAGTTGAACTGGAGTCAACATGTCAGATATAAATGATTTACTTGGTTCCTAATGTTTGATAAGTAATAAAACGTCACTCTTTAATGTTAAACTTTCTTATTTGTTACTCCTGATATTGAATAGTTGTAGAAAGTTAATTTTTTACTTATTTACTGATGTATAACAAGTACTGAAAATACCTGTAAGTGATGAAACTTTTACATGTTTAGTGCTATGTAATAATTACTTAACAGTCGCCACTTGTAGTGTTTAAAGTTTTGACACGTTTACTGCTATATAACAAGTATTTATCAGTAACTTGTATATGTTTAAAGTTTTGACACGTTTACTTCTATGTAACAAGTATTTATCAGTAACTTGTATATGTTTAAAGTTTTGACACGTTTACTGCTATATAACAAGTATTTATCAGTAACTTGTATATGTTTAAAGTTTTGACACGTTTACTGTTATATAACAAGTATTTATCAGTAACTTGTATATGTTTGAAGTTTTACACGGTTACTGCTATATAACAAGTATTTATCAGTAACTTGTATATGTTTAAAGTTTTGACACGTTTACTTCTATGTAACAAGTATTTATCAGTAACTTGTATATGTTTAAAGTTTTGACACGTTTACTGTTATATAACAAGTATTTATCAGTAACTTGTATATGTTTAAAGTTTTGACACGTTTATTGCTATATAACAAGTATTTATCAGTAACTTGTATATGTTTAAAGTTTTGACACGTTTACTGTTACTGATAAATACTTGTTATATAGCTTGTATATTTTTAAAGTTTTGGCACGTTTACTGTTATATAACAAGTATTTATCAGTAACTTGTATATGTTTGAAGTTTTACACGGTTACTGCTATATAACAAGTATTTATCACTAACTTCTATATGTTTAAAGTTTTGACATGTTTACTGCTATATAACAAGTACTCAATAGCACATGATGTCACCACTTTAAAACATTTATTAAACGTCTTTATCATGTATTTTAGCATTTTCATCAGTGAATCTTGGGAACTGAGTCAGTTTATGGATATACCAATTAACTGAAATCGTATCGCTTCTATTAACTTAATCACCTTTTAAGTCTCATTCTTAATTTAGTTTAAGAATGGTTTCTTGTTTACCGTTGCGCTATAATTTCAGTGTATTTCTAACCTAGAACCTAATATCATTTAGCTAAAGAGGCATCTTTGTTAATTAAATATCTTTGTGTTCATGAAAAAATGTATACACTACAGAGTTTCGTAGTGTTCGTTGTCCCTGAACAATAATTATGGATTATTCATATTTACAAGAGCTTAAAGTCTAATGTATTACAATCTTACAATGATTTATAAAATCTTATATAGAAATATATAGTAAACCTGCCATTGAAATTCTTATCTTGAGCTAACTCTTCGGATAAAGAAAATTTTTTTGGTGGAACTGGTGGACGCTCATCCGATTTTTTCCTGGACGAAGTGCCCTCTGTTGGCAGACTGGTGTCTTGTATATTTGCCTGTTCCTGAGAACTTTTCGGTGGTTCGTTGTTTCTCCTTGGGCCAACTCCATTCACAGTACGACCTGCTGGTCGTTCCAGCACCGTATTTACTGCAGCATCTGTTGTTCTACGAAACTTCTGCTTTGGTTGTTTCTTATCTTCAACTTTCTGGTTTCTGGTTTTTTCTTGTTGTAAACCATCATTACTCTTCTTATTATTTGATGGAAGATATATCTCTTCAACAAGATTATCTGTTTGGGATTCGTGATCCTCAACCTCCACTGGAGACCTATTCTGTCTTGATATAGGGGTACCAAAATGGGGATTTTTTGACTGGCTCACTGGGGTACTTTCATTGGATGGTGGTAGAGCTTCATCCAAAGATCTGTCTAAGTCTTGAATTATTCGTAATGCCTCTGCATCGCTTCTTCCATGATCCTTACTTGAATATTGGTAATTCCTTCCAGAATGTTCATCGAGAAATATAAAGTCAGGCGAACAGCTTTCAGAATTTGAATGATTAGCCATCTTTTTCAACACTTCCTTCACTATTCCAGGACTTTGGAGAGAAGGAGAAGATAGAGACTTGGGTAGACTTAGTTTGTTTTCAATAGACTTTTGAATTTCTATGCTACGAAGATTAGAGATGACATTGTTATTCGCATGTTTCTTCGGTACTAGGCTGTTTTTTACCTGTTTTTCGCTATTCCTAGAAGTGTTACAACTTTCTATGTTTGAAAAAGTGAAGTGTGGGCTCGTAGAGACGTGGATTCTGTGAGCTTGTAGGGGCGTGGATTCTGGGGGTTTGCAGAGACGTGGATTTTGGGGGCTTGTAGAGACGTGGGTTTTGAGTTTGTTATGATCTGAAGATAACTCTTGTCGGTTATTAGAGATAACACTGAAACCTTGGAGTTGAGTTGTATTTGTTTTAGGGTTGACCTTTTCTTTACTCCGGATTTCACTTGGGCTCAGACTATTTCCAAAAGTATCTCCTTCCACACCATCCACCGATAGCATAGTCTGACAAAAATCATGAAAACTGGAAACAATAACCTTTTGTGGAGCTTTTACATTAACATTGTAGCATTCGTTAACCTCAGATTGTGGGTATTGGTCTGGAGTGTTCACATTAGTGTTATAACATTCGTTAACTTCAGATTGTGGGTATTGGTCTGGAGTGTTCACATTAGTGTTATAACATTCGTTAATGTTGCCTGGAGTATACTCGTCTTGATCGTTCCAGTTTTCATCGTCAAAGTATATACTGCTATTCTGTACTGAGTACTGAGAGTTACGACTTCCCTCGGATGATATACTATTTGAATTCCTCACGCGCTTTTGTTCGTTGCACAAAGATCCTCGTGACTCCAAAGCATCATTATTAATTGACTGTTGAAACTTCGAATCAGGACATCTAATGGAAGATGATTGTTGAGGCTGGGGATGGGTGGAAGAAGGCTGTTCAGCTGGACGCAGGTAGCGACAAATGCCGAATACAGTTCCTTGTAGCGACGACTGAGACACTATCGACGGAGATTTCTGGTTTGGAATTTCTGGAGAAATAATTGTTGAAGTTTTTTTAGGTTGTACAGGCCTTCTGTAGGGGATTGGACCTGAAATATAGATAATATTAGTTAGGACTGTATGAAAGTTTTAGATGTAATAATTGTGCAAATATCGATCCAAATTAACTATTAAACACAGATGGGATCGTTTATCATTCGCTGTAGTAAGCTAAAGTATTGTGTGCACATACTCAAAAGAAAAGTGTTAGGTCTATTTAACCATCACTTTCATTTTATCTATATAATTCTGTGCCCTACAGACGACAATAATATTATTAATTATCAGTGAAAAATGAAAGAAAATTATGCCAGTGTTATGTTTGATCTCTTTAATAAATTCTAAACATTTTATCGTTTCTGCATCATATTTACATAAAAGAGCATATTTTACTTGTCCAAAGAAACTCATTGTACAAACTCACTGAGTAATAAAACATATAACTGGGTTGTCAGTAAAGTTTCATAGGCTAAACAAAAGTGGTTAGTAATAAAACATATAACACCTGGGTTGTCAATGAAGTTTCATAGGCCAAACAAAAGTGGTTAGTAATAAAACATATAACACCTGGGTTGTCACTAAAGTTTCATAGGCCAAACAAAAGTGGTTAGTAATAAAACATATAACACCTGGGTTGTCAATGAAGTTTCATAGGCCAAACAAAAGTGGTTAGTAATAAAACATATAACACCTGGGTTGTCAATGAAGTTTCATAGGCTAAACAAAAGTGGTTAGTAATAAAACATATAACACCTGGGTTGTCAATGAAGTTTCATAGGCCAAACAAAAGTGGTTAGTAATAAAACATATAACACCTGGGTTGTCAATGAAGTTTCACAGGCCTAACAAAAGTGGTTAGTAATAAAACATATAACACCTGGGTTGTCAATGAAGTTTCATAGGCCAAACAAAAGTGGTTAGTAATAAAACATATAACACCTGGGTTGTCAATGAAGTTTCATAGGCCAAACAAAAGTAGTTAATATCACAATTCTCTACATTTCTTTTTCTCACACTCATTTAATTAGTCCGTTACAGAGTTCGAATCTGAAGTGTGTAAAAATAACATATTTGACCTGTATTTTGTCCATCACAAGTTACTACACAGCTGCTCTTTCGCTAAGCCAAATCTGATTCGAAATCTGGAACGGACTAATTAAAAGAATTGTTATAAAAATGACGGACAGTCAAGCGTAATGTTAGTAACATTTCTTCGGCCAATAAATAGAAAGAAAGAAAGTTTGAGAACATAAATAGTTTACTGCAGTTAAAGAGAATTCCTAGTGAGGTTTGGTTTTAATTTCGCTAAGCGTTACACGAGAGGTATCTGTTCTAGCCGTCCCTAATTTAGTAGTGATAGACTATAGGGAAGGCAGCTAGTTAACATCACCCACCGCCAACTCTTGAACTACTCTTTTTACCAACGAATAGTGGGATTGACCGCCACATTATAATGCCCCACAGCTGAAAAGGCGAATATGTTCGATCACGAATATTCGAACCCGCGACCCTCAGATTACGAGTCGAGGGCCCTAACCACCAGATTTCATAAAACGCTTGAATTTAAATGTTATAATCTCTAATTTATATAAATTTAACACATTTCGACTGATTACACTACCATTATCATCATTTGAACCTCTGTAAGTTCACAGAAGTTGTCAAAAATAAGTTTATGATAGTGAGGAATGCGTGTTTCTTTTACATGTATTTAGACTTCAAGAGGAGCTTAATTTAAAAAAAAATACTTTGAAATTACTCTTACCAATCTAGATTATACTTTAAGAAATACAAATCAACTAACAGTTTTAGTTGGGAAACTTTGAAGGTTTCTAGGCAGTAGGATAACTGTAGGAATAGAGAAATAACAAGACATTTTCTTAACCCAATACACATTTTAACTTTCAGTCTTCAAGCAACAAACAAATTCTTTGGTATAATTCTAGTACATTAAACCAACAGTAGAGTTAAGATTACTACTGCCCCTAAATTAACGATAAAGTTAAGATTACTACTGCCCCGACCAGCAAATTGAAAGAAATACAGAAGGTTGAGTACATTATATTAAATGGATTTTGACATCCATAGAAACGTCGAATATAACAGTATGAATTAGAATTGCATTTTGGCGTTCACAGGTGGTGTGGTATCACCGAATATTTATTAGTTTTGGGATTTGTATGTAGCATCGGTTTCCTACCCAAAATAAGTATATACTAGAATCATAAAGATGTGTTTAGAATTTCCAAGACGGAGATGTCCCTTGTACTTAAAAACACTGGAAAACAGAAGAATATGAGCACCAGAACCCTCCAGAAAGAAACTTGCAACAGGTCGTACCCCAGCCATGGTAAGAATCTACGAACACAAATATCAGTGGCAAAAGAAGTCCACGTGTACCAGGAAATAATAAGCAACACAATCAAGAAGGATCTCTGTTTGGAAAAATGGCACAAGTCATGTGTATGCGATTAGTTTCCAAGACATATCTGTTCAACCGTCGCATACCTCAAAAAGCTTTAGAATGAAATGGGTATGTGTGCTGCTACATATTCAAGTTTCCTATGGATTTCTGTACGATTAAACTGTTGAAACTGGCGTGAAAAAACGATCATCCTCATTCACTAGATGGCTTATGGAAAGCACAAGGAGGAGAGGTGTACTTCGGACATGACAACCTTACGAAGAAGCCTTTTTGCAATGGAAACTACGCTGCAGGGTTATTGTCAAGATGCATAAAAGTTAGACAGAGAATGACTGGATTGTAACGTTTATAATATAACACATTCAACCTTTGTACTCAAGGTATGTACATTCCTTTGATTTTGTTTTCTCATATGATTATCTCGTGAATGTATTTGTCATTTTTTCCCGTGCGTGGTTTATTCATTTAAGCAATATTATTACATTTATTTTCTGACATCCATTAACCGTACCTTATAAACTAGAGACTCAAAGTCTTCATCTACGTTTCCTTTGTTTTAACAGCGACAGTTTGCTATTGTACTCAACAAAATTGCTGTTGTTATATTTCGAATCATACGCATCTGCGTATAAAAACAAACAAACAAAAACAATTGTGCGTAATTTCATAGTTCTGTATCGTGAAATTGATTTCGTTAGACACTACCTTTACATTAAGATTTAGATAACGCTGGTATTATTCTAGCCACTTTTTGTCTCTTCTTTTCAACGTATCCTTTATTGAATATTTGCCATAAAATATTAAGCCTAATTTTCCTATGAGTTTAAGGAATAGCGCACATAGACCAATTGTTTGTTTCTTCTTGTTGTTTTATTTGTTGATAAGCACAAAGTTACACAATGGGCTGTTTGTGCTGTGCCCACCACGTGTATCAAAATCCGGTTTTTGCATTGTAAGCTTTCAGACTTACCGTTGACTTATTGTATCATTTGTAACCCTAAAAACGATCACCAAGCAAACGAGTGAAAAATAAAGTTACTGACAACAAGCAATTAGTTATAACATAAGATGAAATATATATTGATGTCATCCAGTGGTATGGTTGATGCTGTTATAATTTATAGTCACAAACTCTTGTAAGTATTATAACATAAATACTTGTTGACTAATCTCTTAAAAAGAGTGATGTTATGTTATGTTGAAGACTAATGCATGATCAATTATTTTGTTAAGGCAGGATTTTCTTCAGAACAAGAATAATTCTATCCCAGTCGAACATGTTATGAAAATTTAATGTAAACTACTTGACTATACAAGATATTTTATAGAATAAATCGAGAGTATTCAAGAGAGTCAGTAAGTAGTTCAACAGTTGATGTTTAGGCTTAGTAAATTAGGCTACAAAAAAAACAAAAAAAAACTTGTGAAGTCGGTAAGATTATTTTATTTTATTATGAACAACTATGTTAGACTGACAAAATGATCAAGCTAATGAAAAGATATTTGTAACTGCAAGGTACTGTTACGACAGCGGAAGTCACGCGACCCTGGGAGCATGCGCGCTGGAGTTTCTAGAAGAATCATGAATTATCGAGGAACCCCGCGAATGTCCGAGTGTTTTCCAGGCGCCCTCTTTTTAAGTATATAAGCCCAGCAAATAAAGCCAGTGATAGAGAGATATGCAGATGGATTGAAGAGATGCATAATTGAGTCAAGCGAACAGTAGGCACCATAAGGAAAGTGTGTGAATCACTGTGATTTATAGCGTGTGTTA